TATTTCCAGGTCAGGTCATGGTCCCTGGCTGGGACAACATAAGCAATTACATTTTAGCCCTAAATTCGATTTCTTCATGCATGTTTTTACAGAAATGCCCAAAATGGCTTTACTGCTTCTTACCTCATAATCCAAAAAACATCAGTTGACTTGGAGATGTTTTGTATGTTTTTTATGTCTGGTGTTCGACATCTCTTTCCTCGGAGCCCCTCTGAAATATCATCTTCAAAGTCCTCAATATCAGAGGAACTCCTCACCCAGTAGTAGCTTTCATCTGCACATTACTTATTCATTGTCTGTGAAAAGGAAAGACGACAGAGAGGCGTGAAGTGTAACATGCTGCATGTCATTTAGACCCTGTCTGTTGTGTCCGAAATGGCACCCTATTCCCTACATAGTGCACTACTTTTGACCAGGGCCCATAGTTTACTGTACTACACTGCTCAAAAAAATAAAGGGAACACTTAAACAACACATCCTAGATCTGAATGAATGAAATAATCTTATTAAATACTTTTTTCTTTACATAGTTGAATGTGCTGACAACAAAATCACACAAAAATTATCAATGGAAATCAAATGTATCAACCCATGGAGGTCTGGATTTGGAGTCACCTTCAAAATTCAAGTGGAAAACCACACTACAGGCTGATCCAACTTTGATGTAATGTCCTTAAAACAAGTCAAAATGAGGCTCAGTAGTGTGTGTGGCCTCCACGTGCCTGTATGACCTCCCTACAATGCCTGGGCATGCTCCTGATGAGGTGGCGGATGGTCTCCTGAGGGATCTCCTCCCAGACCTGGACTAAAGCATCCGCCAACTCCTGGACAGTCTGTGGTGCAACGTGGCGTTGGTGGATGGAGCGAGACATCATGTCCCAGATGTGCTCAATTGGATTCAGGTCTGGGGAACGGGCGGACCAGTCCATAGCATCAATGCCTTCCTCTTGCAGGAACTGCTGACACACTCCAGCCACATGAGGTCTAGCATTGTCTTGCATTAGGAGGAACCCAGGGCCAACCGCACCAGCATATGGTCTCACAAGGGGTCTGAGGATCTCATCTCGGTACCTAATGGCAGTCAGGCTACCTCTGGCGAGCACATGGAGGGCTGTGCGGCCTCCAAAAGAAATGCCACCCCACACCATGACTGACCCACCGCCAAACCGGTCATGCTGGAGGATGTTGCAGGCAGCAGAACGTTCTCCACGGCGTCTCCAGACTCTGTCACGTCTGTCACATGTGCTCAGTGTGAACCTGCTTTCATCTGTGAAGAGCACAGGGCGCCAGTGGCGAATTTGGCAATCTTGGTGTTCTCTGGCAAATGCCAAACGTCCTGCACGGTGTTGGGCTGTAAGTACAACCCCCACATGTGGACGTCGGGCCCTCATACCACCCTCATGGAGTCTGTTTCTGACCGTTTGAGCAGACACATGCACATTTGTGGCCTGCTGGAGGTCATTTTGCAGGGTTCTGGCAGTGCTCCTCCTGCTCCTCCTTGCACAAAGGCGGAGGTAGCGGTCCTGCTGCTGGGTTGTTGCCCTCCTACGGCCTCGTCCACGTCTCCTGATGTACTGGCCTGTCTCCTGGTAGCGCCTCCATGTTCTGGACACTATGCTGACAGACACAGCAAACCTTCTTGCCACAGCTCGCATTGATGTGCTATCCTGGATGAGCTGCACTACCTGAGTCACTTGTGTGGGTTGTAGACTCCGTCTCATGCTACCACTAGAGTGAAAGCACCGCCAGCATTCAAAAGGGACCAAAACATCAGCCAGGAAGCATAGGAACTGAGAAGTGGTCTGTGGTCACCACCTGCAAAACCACTTCTTTATTGGGGGTGTCTTGCTAATTGCCTATAATTTCCACCTGTTGTCTATTCCATTTGCACAACAGCATGTGAAATGTATTGTCAATCAGTGTTGCTTCCTAAGTGGACAGTTTGATTTCACAGAAGTGTGATTGACTTGGAGTTACATTGTGTTGTTTAAGTGTTCCCTTTATTTTTTTGAGCAGTGTATATAGGGTATAGGACACAGAAGGTTGCTGGCACCATAATCGGGGAGGACGGGCTGGTGGTAATGGCTGAAGCGGAATTAGTGGAATGGTATCAAATATGCCATTCCATTTACTTTGTTCCAGCCATTATTATGAGCCCTCAGTAGCCTCCACTGGTATAGGATGCCATTTGGGACGAACCCCCAGTCTACAGGCCGATGAGAAGTATGTTTGCTGCTAACAATAAAAGCACTGACTAGGAGAAGTAAAAGAAAGCTGAGGCTCATTCAGGATGCCGCAACATTCTAGACGTTACAGATATGTCATATGCATTATAGTTGACATTATCCCCTAATGTTTATCACAGAGTAGCATGTCTGTTCTACACAATATTATTCTATATGAAGATTCTGCACGTTCCATAACATTGCAATCACTTCAACAGACCCCAAGGCTCTGAAATAACTGTACAAGATACAGCCTTGATGTAGGCATATCTTATCGGAGTGAGAGAAGTTAACACAACTCTCCAAGGTGCATCCAAAAACTGAGTACATTAACATTTTAATTCCTTTGCATATCAAATGAACATAGTGTATTTTGTCACCCAGAAAATCAGGGTTCTCTTTGCAGTGTGTGTTTTTAAAAGAAAGGGACACTCAATCAAAATCTTTTCAGTGGCTTCCGATGGACAAGTGCGATGACAAGGACATTAATTTTCAATCAATTGTATCTATTCCATGGACAGTAGAGATCAATATTTTGAAATACAGCAATCTACTGACACCAGTGAGCCAGCAATATGATTTATCAGGGGCTCCTGCTGAACAGGCACCTCTGTCTCTGAAGGCTGATATTAGTTATGCACATCATTATACATATTTTACAGATTGTTATAAAATAGTCTATTAGAACAGACACACAGCAGGACGTTTAGCACCTAACAGTCTCTGATGGCTGATATTAGTTATGGTCATCACTACACAGAACGTACATGTAAAGACAGTGTGCTACTACATACAGCCTCCACCAGGAGCTAAAATGAATTAGTAAAGTCATAGGGTGCGTCCCAAATGGCCACCCATTTCCCTATACAGTGCACTACGTTTGGCCAGGGCACATTTCGGGTGCAACCACAGTCTCGTGACAGATTGTTTGGTTCCGGGTTCCGAGGTTAAGTAAGCCAAGAACACATGCAGACACACAGTCAGAGATAGTATCATTTAATTCACAATACTGTATTTCTTTATTCATTATTGAAACCCTGAAGGAAGCTAGAGAGAAAGGCGGTGACCATTGTTTTGTGCCTCATCTTCCTCTAGTTCATCAGTCAGACACAGCCAGTTATAACACATCATGTTGAGGTAACAGGTACAGTAATAAATTATTCATTATTTAAAAAACACTTACAAGAAATTCATATCAATAATACAAAGGTATCAAACATACTTGATACAATATCATTGATTTCTTCAGACATATATTTCTCTCTTTTTTTTGTAAAATACTGCCAAAGACACCATGTCTGTTGCTTCATACCCTGGGAAGTGGAACTTACATTGTACCTCTGGGTGAAGTACAGCAGGGTCACTCCAGGATCATGTTCATTAGGCAACAAACGGATGAAAATGGACTAAAACGTGGAGGGATTACTTGGACTCCAATAAGAAACGTCCATTTTTGTTTTCCATTGCAAACTGTTTTGCTACGGTGTGCCCTACTGAACACGACCCAGGGCTGAGAGCATAGAACACAGGAGGTTGGTGGCACCTTAATTGGGGAGAACGGGCTTGTGGTAATGGCTGGAGCGGAATGGTATCAAATACATGTTTTCCATGTGTTTGATGCCATTCAATTTGCGCCGTTCCAGACATTATTATGAGCGGTCCTCCCCTCAGCAGCCTCCACTGGTATAAACTGTTCTGTGCAACAGACATGAGACAGGCAAATGGGCTACATGGTATTGACATAATTATGATAAGCTCAGTTTTTCACATTCAGTCAATTTCTATTATGCCTTCCCTTTCATAATTTGACATTTTTCTTCAACATGCAGATATGAAAGTCAAAATCTATTCAAAGTGCAAAGGTACTTCCTTCATTCAAGAGCAAATTTCTAACCAGAGGTGTATTCATTACATCTTTCAATGGAAATCATTTAAGAACCAAAACAGAAGCAAACTGAACAAACGGAACGAAACAGGGAGGGACCTACCTGAATTTGTCCAATAGACACTCTAGTTTTCGTGCAAAAGTTTTCCTTTTGGAGTTTGCAACAGAATTGCCGTAATGAATATACCCCAGACGAACAAGCCCAAATGTTTTTTTGTTTAGTGCTTTAACAGTATAAGCCATTTCATAGGTTATTAAATACTCCCTATTAGACAGAGAAATCTAACATCTTGTTGATTGGAGTAACTGGTCCCCTCAACCTACAAGCCATACTCCCCACCAGAAAAAATAAAATAAAAAGTACTAACAGCCACATCCTCCCACTTCTCTTCAGGACCCCAGAGCCAAAGCCACATCCTCTTACGCCTGTGGCTAGTGCAGCTCGAATATACTTCATAATCATCCTCTTTATCGTCTCAGAATTTAACATTCAACACCATGGAGAACTTACAACCACAACACAAACACTCAGATCATGGGTCCCTAACAACATCTAACGTCACATCTCCCCACCCAGGAGAATACCTTGATGTCCACCTCCACTTCCATGGAGAGCATCATCACTGCACTGTCTGTAAATCAGTCAGTCCATAAGGAGCTCCTCCTGGAGTGCTTTTTTCTGACCAATCAGGGGAAGGGGGTGGGCAATGATGCCTGCCTTGGAGTTGACCCCATCAAGTGAGAGCTTTTTTCTTCGACACTGTAAACAGTCAACAGTCAGTTTCTTATCTCCCCCAATTCCCCTTTTCTCCTCCAGTTGTTGGTCACTGCCAGTCTGCAGTTCTCTCTAACAACATTGTTACGCAGCGGCGAGAGGGGTGACACCATCACAAGATGACACAGTGGACTTTGTGAGAACCCGTAGATCGTTCCCCTCGCCACTTCATCTTCTTCTTCTTCTTCAGGCTCCTCTCTGGGATCTGCTGCCTGCACAGGAGGAAGAGAGAGAGAACGTCAGAGCGAAAGAGAGAGAAAGGATGGAGGAGAAAGAGGGTGTAGAAAAAAAATAAGAAAATGAGTAGGAAATGAGGGTATGTAAAGGAAGGAGTAGACAAGAGAAGGAAAGGACAAGAGAAGAAAGAGAGGGAGGGTGAGGATTAAAATCAGATAGCCAAGCTACCCAAGCAGCAAGACTAGAGGGCCTCTAAGTCTTTATGTAGAACTCTCTACATCCCTGACAAACAGTTGAGTGGGCCCTCCAGCAGGATATGACCACACCGAACACCAACACATACTGGATTCCTCTGAAATTAAACATCTGTTAATTCAGGAAATAGCTACTGTTTTTTCCCCAACCCTTTAACAGACTTTTGCTGGCATTCATGCCATATACAGTATATAGTGTGTTTGCAAAGGGAAACCAAAATGGTGGTTCTCTCTTATTCAAGCATGAATTGAATCCAATATTATGATCAAGCCTATACAATTCTTAATTCATCATTCTTAAACATAGCCTTCAAGTCAGTAATTATATATCTAGAAGTTTGGCCTACCTTATAACCCTGACTAGTTCATGGAACGCCTTGTCCACATTCATAGGGGGATCCTTGGCACTTGTCTCAATGTATGTGATCTGTGAAGAAAAAAACACATTGATCAAACATTGTCAGGAAAGATGACAAGCAAAAAATCGAATAGTCTTTGATTTCGCTAGTGCCACAAGGTATACACAACAAATACTAATTATGTTTTTCCAGCACAGAGCCCCATAATAAGGGATGTGAGTTTTGCAAGTAAAAACAAATGTAAGCATAGATCTGCAAACACATAATTTGATGCACTCTCACACTTGGTGGTGTCCTCTGACATAACGTGTTCTAAAACAGTAAAGGCCAAGCTTGGCTATATTTGTGTTTTTCCCCACCACAGAGACTCAGTCTCTCCCAGAGGCCTACATTACACCCTGTAGCTAACGCAGAGTCAGCATCCCAGCCTGCCCTGCACCCAACAACCTCTCTCCCAGGAATAGCAGCCCAGAACACACAGCCCATAGAACAACCCCAGCCACTGACAACAGCAGTGGGGAAAGGCCTTCTACAGGTTCAACTACAGCCCTGACTTTTTCCTAACCATTTGACCTGACTATAAAAGATTATTGGCCAAAATTATCCATTCAAAACTAGGGTATAACTAGGGTTCTGAGTTTTTTCCCCATTAAAAGTACATTCATCAATTTGGACACTGTACTGCATCAAACAAGACATTAAAAATGAAGGATTTAGACATCAAGCTGCCCACTCCCTGTCTGAGCTGACACTGTACTCACATTGTGTTTGGCAGCCATTTCCTGCCCCTGGTCGCTGGTGATTTTGCGGAGGTGAACCAAATCCACCTTATTGGCCACCAGCACCATGGGGAAGGCCTCCCTGAAGGAGAGCAGAAGGAAGGAGAAGGACTGAGGAACAGATGCATCTCATTTCAACATAACATGTGTACAGTTACACCACTACACAGCTGACAACCTGACTGGAATGGAAACATTGTCTGGGGAAGGACTTGTTTGTTTTCATTTGTTGTGAACAAGAGATACAGAATAGAGCAGCATGACTATCTGCTGTGTAGATGAACCCTTTACCAGTGAGAGTGTTGGAGGGAACACACAAAAGATTGCGGCAGACAACCCAGTCGGAGGCACTCGGTACAGTAGCAGCAGTCCTGTGTAAGTGTCTGGCCCATAAGGCACGCATCATATCAAAAGCTGGCCCTCACCTGTCTTTGACCCTGAGGATGAGCTGGTGGAAGCGGTCCACATGTTCAAAGCTGGCCTTGTCGGTCACAGAGAACACGATGAGGAAGCCGTCCCCCGTCCTCATGTACTGCTCCCTCATAGCACTGAACTCCTCTTGGCCTGCTGTATCCAGCACTGTGCAATAACAAAACATACAGGTACCATTGTTACAAGATGCTACTGGGAATCCTCTTCTTGCTTGTTTTCATATGAAATGATTGGAAAAGCAACAAGCTATCAATTGCAAACAAATGCACATATAGTATAAGTCTAAATCTGTGAAACTATATGGGAATACTGTGCCACAACAGTATGTTTCATTAACATCCTGAACAGAATTGATAAAGGACACCAGCACCCCTAACCCAGAGAGACAGAAGAGAAAATGTCTCCCTACCGTCCAGGATGGCCCACTGTCCATCTATCTCTGTGTGTTTCAGGTAGGAGTCCTCGATGGTGGGGTCATAGTCGGACACAAAGATCTTCTGGAAGAACTGGATGGTGAGAGCGCTCTTCCCCACTCCTCCATCCCCCACCACCACCAGCTTGTACGTGAGGAGGTTGTCGCTAGGCACCGCACTGCTGGTTGCCATGGCAACAGGCAGCTGGCTATACCTGGAACACAGCAGGACAGGAGGGAGGGAGAGATGAAGAGTGTGAGACTGCTGCTGCTAATTCATAGCCAGGGACACCAGAGTACACAGAACCATGCATCACACACCAGCCCCTCAGAGAGAGAACGTCAGCTAGCTATCGACACCTCAGTCAATCTCAGCTAGAAGGGCTTGCCGAAAATGCTGTAGTAAAGGATAGGAAATAGATGTATACAATGTGCACGCAACATGTGTAATAATACTGTAATAAACCAAACACCTGGAGCACCAGAGCCTTAGATAGAGATTCGTTTACTGTATATGACGGAGCTGGAGATGCCTCAGTGAGAAAAACCCCTGGTCACTGATTGGCTGTCTGTATGAGGAAGTGCCTTGCACAGCCAGCCAGTCAGCAGTGTAACGGCGAGGCTCTCCCTCCCATTATGTAGGCTATTCTGTTTTGTTCTTTTTATGAGACTGCCAGAATAGCATGCAGCACCAACCACTCTCCCAGCACCATTATGAGCAGGGGAAACACGGTCTAGACATATTGATTACTGTGCTTTGTAATTATGGCTTTCGGGAAAAAATAAAACCGTCCTTGACTTCTCTGAAAGAATATCCTCTATAGCAGCTGTGGTGGTGCAACTTCACCAGCTTCCCACAAAAACTCCAGATTCAGATTCACTGACCATATTGGTTTTATTTTCTGTTGCTTGACAACGTTTTCCATCTCACACTATTTAAAATTGTTGTTTTTCTACTGCGATTTAGTAAGAACCTGGTCCTTCAAAAACATGGACACATTACAGCACATAAGTGCTCTGTTGTCTTGTGTGCGTTACTATTATTTCATGAACCCAATGCTGTATTGGCAAAAGGCAACAGCTTTCACAAGACAGGTCAAGCCACTAAGAGTGGTTGATAAACAAGGAAAAGCCAACTGAGGACAACAAGCTTGAGGAAACAACACAGACACTGGGATGGTGGTCATCCCCAACCATTAAAGGAGTTAGAACTTTCTCCAACAGCAGGATAGCGTGAGGGAATATGATTAAATCTCTTTGAACCTGCCTGACCTTAAGCTGCATAGAGGACAGGCTATGGGTAGAGGACAGGCTATGGGTAGAGGACAGGCTATGGGTAGAGGACAGGCTGTGCATGCATACAGAGAACACAGCCCAGGCTATGGGTAGAGGACAGGCTGTGCATGCATACAGAGAACACAGCCCAGGCTCAGCCCAGGCAGTGGGTAGAGGACATGGCACCATTGCAGTGGGCCGCAGGAAACAGCTGTCAGCTGGTGACGGCAGCCCTGCCACCTTCCTGCTCCACACAATAGAGGGAAGGAAAGACACTTCCTTCCTGGAGCGGCCCAGTCAGACCCCTGGAGAAGGATATACTGTAGGATCTCCCAGCCTCCCTCACAAGGGAACAGCTAGCTAGAGGGAACAACCTGCACACCCAAAACATACTGGATTACTTCATCAGTCAGAGGAAGGCCCAAAAAATGGTCAAAGACTCCAATCACCGAAGTCATAGACAGTTCTCTCTGCTACCGCACGGCAAGCGGTACCGGAGCGGCAAGTCTAGGTCCAAAAGGCTCCTTAACAGCTTCTACCCCCAAGCCATAAGACTGCTGAACAATTAATTAAATGGCCACCCGGACTATTTGCATTGACCCCCCCCACCCCAATATTTTCTTAATACTGCATTGTTGGTTAAGGGCTTGTAAGTAAGCGTTTCACAGTAAGGTCTACACCCGTTGTATTCGGCGCATGTGACAAATAAAATGTGATTTGAAGTACCGCTGATCACCCAATACATACCATTTCTTACCACTCAGGTCCAGCTCAGATCTGTCTCACTCATCTAGGATTCTCACCTGGGTGCTGACTGCTGAACAACGACTAAGGGACTGATGCCCTATAGACAGGAAAGCTTACCTAGATGTCCAGTAAAGGACGTGTCATCATCATCATCGGTAAATGGCCAGCAAGGGTGCCAACTAAATTTCTGTCGACTGTACACGAGGTCACAAGATTCTGGGTACAAATGAGATCACTAGATTGTGGGTCTTCATCTGTGATGACTCAGTGGCAGTGTGGAGCATTATGCTCTTCAATCATACCACAACAGCACCTCTGGGCAACTACCATGCTTCTTTCATATCAACTGCAGTATACACAACACATAATGGACATCTGTGTACTCTGAACTGGACAGCTGTGTGCTCAGAACTCTAGACCACATGTGTCAACTCATTATTTAATCTGATCTGAACTCATGCATTACATATTTTGCTACTAAAAGACTGACTGACTGTACATAACTTGGTAAAGAGTAGGTAATGTGACTTGAGATAAGATACCTCTTCGGTGAATCAACGTAGGCCTACCTCACCAGGCTGCTGTCAGTGGACTTTATGTTGCATTTCATACAGTAACACCTTGTGAGAGTCACTTGGTTGACACTGCTCAATCAACATGCTTCTCTAAAACAAAACAAGAGTTCAAGCTGCTTTGATCAAGTTTAAATTAAACATGCAGTACCTTCAGTGCCATTTCAACTTCTTTGATTGAATAACAAGTGAAAAAGCTTCACCACCTTGCCACTTTTGTTGCAGCATTATCTGGTGATTTCACTGGGCTATTAATAGGCAGATTAATATGTGTAGCTCTATTGAATGTTGCCTTATACATCAGACTGTTACCTTGGTTACCCCATGGATATTCAGTCTGAAAGAAGTCGCCATAAAAAAGAGGCAAGAACCTCTACATGCCAGAATGTTTAATAATTAATTAAGTTATAATGTCCGAGAAGCTGGAGTTTGTTGGATATATTGGCACGGTGTTGTTAGGCCCGATACGAAGTCAAGGGCCAACAAACCGTGCCAATATATCCAACAAACACCGGCTTCGAGGGCATTATCACTTTTATACAAGGGGTTACCAACATATTCAAATAATGATTGACATATTTTGATAAAAAAACGTTCTTCATCCTTCCACAAGATATAGTCCTGACACAAATCTAGGGTTGCTAGAGACGCGACCCAGTCGTTCGTTCTAAATGTTCCATTGCCATACTGGCTGGCAACGTTCTTATCCCTTGCTTGCTATCTAGCCAACTACGGCTAACTTACAGTCACGTCAAAAAGTTCCGACAGAATAACAGCAAAGTAGCTGCATTTGCATTTGTTTAAGCTGTTTTCTAGTGACATTTATTTGGATACATCCATAACAATGAGCTAATTTCGCCTGCCATAGAGAATGTGCTCACTCGTCAGGACACTGTTGTTCAGAAGAGCTAGCCAACAACACAGCTACAGTAACACAATCACTTAAAACGACTGCAAATTAGCTGCGTTTCGTTTTTCAATTGACATTTTTTTGTATATACACCCATAAAAATGATGCCAGCTGATTCATGATTTCGACTGGCTGAGAAACGCTGCCTGCCTTTCTGTCCCGACTCGTTCAATACTATGGGACAGCAGCAGATCGAATTTGAATATTGAAACAATGTTGCAAATGTCGGAGAGACAGACAGCAAGGTTTATACAAATCTCCACTGTTGAAAACTAAATGTCAGTCTAAAAGAAATGTGAGATAATGTCTAGATGCTTTTTATAGTGGAGATCAAGTTTATAAAGTGGCTGACTGGGTTGATGAGACAGAGGATTGCGCAGTCAGATGGAACAGTGTAAATAGGCATTTTAACGTCATAGATTTAGCTTGTGGTAACTTGTGGAATAGACACCAGCTGGAATGCGGTTTTAACCAATCAGCATTCAGGATTAGACGCACCCGTTGTATAAAATGATATGTAAACGTACTTTACCGGTTGTCCCTGCTGTTGGTCCTTTTGAAGGTATGAAGTGGAGAAAATGTCCACAGGAAAGTATTATTAACCAGACTTTTTGGGGCACCAGTCTGTATATGCTTTGCTTTATCTTGGCCAGGTCGCAGTTGTAAATGAGAACTTGTTCTCAACTGGCTTACCTGGTTAAATAAAGGTGAAAATATTATATATAGCTCTGGCTTGTATTTCTGCTTTGTATTTTCAATCTCCTGACGCACTGCATGTGATGCACAATATGTAAATAATAGTCAAAGATAGCGGTTAGAGCACTGGGCCAGTAACCGAAAGGTAGCTGCTTTGAACACACGAGCCCTCAAGGTGACAAATCTGTTGATGTGCCCTTAAACAAGGCACTTAACCATAATTTGCAAACTGACGGAACCATATACAGACCAGCATACTGAAAGTCAGGCTAATAACACTTCCCTGTGGATAATTTCTCTCAGATTAACTCCAACATAAGGGGGAAAAAATCAACACACAACAGGTAAAGCAAGTCCAAATGAGGTTTATTCGACATTCTGACTTGTAATGGGACTGTTTGGAAATGTTGAGCCTATATGTTAGAGACGAGAGTTTAAGTCTTCCTTCCACTCTATTGGATTCTAAAAGGGACTATATTGAAGGCTGCATAATGGTGGGTGACCTCATCCTATGATGTGGTGCCTGAAGAATCCTTCAATAGAAATTCTGTAATGATTATAATGTATCTATTCATACATGCCTAGTTGAAAAGGCTACAGTGTTAAGTATAAACATTGTAACAAAGCCGCTAAATGTATCAATAGAGTTTGTTCTTGTGATGTTTAATTTCATCCACTGCAAATTATGATAATTCTAATGGAAAGTAGATGACACACTACTAGCCTACGGTTTACTTCCTAACAAAACTTCACAAGATTATTATCGTTTTTAACTAAATCAGTGTGATGTACAGGAACCACTGTAGAGTTACCGCCCTTGGATAAAGGGTTTTTGTTGCTTCTTGAATGTCAAATCTTTTAGAGAAGTTTGCTGCATCAAGCAATTTCCGCAAATGGAATATTGGCGTCCATTTCTTGAATCAAACAGAGGCCCCACGATGTTACAATGTTGTAAGAAATGAAGTCCACAGTTTATATTGCAAAAACCCAAGTCAATTAGATAAATATTTACCAA